TAATTATGATTTTAGGGGGTGTTTTTAACAGGTGAGGTTACGATTATTGCCAAGAATTCCTGTGCTTACACACTCAAATACAACAGCAAGACGTCCCTTCATTGACACAAGCATGAATTACAGGTCTGCATAAAAACAGATAGAACATAGATTGTCAGCACATGCAATTTATTTAGAATGAGCTTAACAAAAGCTGCCATGGCTTGAGGGAACACGTGGGAAGCTTGTGGAATGCAAAATAACAAACTCTTTATATCCTTCTACTGTTAACTTTCTCTTCATCAACTTCATCTCTAGGATCTTCCCATAAACAACACCTACTCTATTAACCACCAACCCCATGGCCACCTTTATTTTTTTGGGGGGGAAGTTCATCTTTCTCCTGTAGCAACCTGATCCTGGTGTTTACCCAAATTTCCCTTCCATCTCTGGAACAGACACACATACACTTTAGTGCACGCTTCACAGAACAGTAACTAATGGCAACCCCATTCATTAAAACGGGTCTTGATGTTTCACACGGAGGAAGGGTAAATGTGCCGGAACGCCTGGCCTGTCTGTCTTAAGCTGTGATGCTAACAACAGATAGGGGAGACAGGGAGACAGGTGGGACCGAGGCTCATCTTACACTCATGCATCTCAGACGCAGCATGGTTACGCCAGCCCTCATGAGCACAGTTCCATATTTCATCAGTTATTAGGGCTATGACATAAGCCCGGATGTGTTAGAGATCCCACCGTAGCGTTATCTGCGCCATCTCTCCTGCCAACATGAGTTTCACAATATGAGGTTTTTGTGAAGTTTCCAAAAGGATGCATTAGGATTTCGCAAGTCACAGGCCTTCGGCCTCACAGTGGTAGCTTTAACAGTACACAGACGTCGGCCACTTCAGATGACATCAACAGCCTCACTCCCATTTCTCAGATCCCGTCGCCTCACGTTTTCTTTTCACCTGCAGTGTCTCACAGCCTGATTCCTTGGTATCCATAGCACTGGCTTATGTGTCAGTGTGAAGGCTTTAATGTTTACATTAAATTACAGCTACATGAGGGCAGGTGCTGACTTGTGTAGTTTTAGGCTTCAAACTTTTTCATAATGTGATGTTTAATTACATTAGGAACCACCCAGGCGCAGCTGCTGGTTGGTGTCGCAGCAGACAGAGCCATGACACATCTAAAGGGTAAAAGCATTTTGTGTTTATGTGAACGTAGAGGATGGGGAGAGTGAATGTGGTTGATCTTGGCAGCAGCACAGGTGGGTAAAGGGAGAAAGGTAACGCTTGTATGGTAGATGATAACAGCATGTGCTTTTACAACGAGGCCTGAGTATTTTAAATTTATGAGTCAATGTATTTTTAACAATACATTTTATATGAAGAGCACAGAAACACAGTTTTCACTTTTCACTGAAGAAAACTGCAGTTTTTTAAAAAAAAGCACATAATCAATAAAAAAACACAATATTTAAACAAATTCCTTTACAATAAAAAAAACAAACATAAAATGAATGAAAAAAAAAATATTAAAATGGTTCTTCCACACAAACTAACAGCAAGGAAAGTAGCCTAGGCCAATTTACATTCAACACTGTGTGACTGACATGAGGAAACGAATCCGAGACAGTGATGGATAAAGACTTGCGGCAGAAAAACTAAATGACTAATGCTGTTAGACAACCTTGGATTATAAATTATTTCAGTTCATTTCAACTCCATGTAGGCTCATGGTCTTAACATTGCTGATTGCCAATCAATCAAAAATAACAGCGAACCTTCAAGAGCAGCACACAAATGTATGGAGGTTAAAAACAACTGCAGATAAATGGCCTAAATAGGCCCAAAAAGTTTATATCCAAATAATGTACTCATATTTTCATATATAGAAAATATATATATAAATAATTTGTTGTATCTCTTCAAAAGAAGGTAAAGTAGGTTGTGATTTGTAGAATAATCAAATTAAAAGAAAAAAAATCTCATGATGTTATATTTTGTAAAGTAAAAAAAAAGCCCAAATTCACTTTTCTTTAGGCCCCATGACTACTGAATCCAGCAACTATTAAAAAACAGAAAAAAACGAAAACCCATTTGATTGGGTATCTGTCCTGCTGTACTTCCTAAAGCCACACCTCAGGAAAGTTTGACTACAATAATAAAATGTCTTTTTCTGCAGTCTATCTACATCACAGATTTTACCCAGTGGGATACATAGGACAAATGTACCTCATGTAGGCAATAATCCTCTTTTTTTAATCTAACGCACAGGCTAAGCTTGAGTAGCCAGCTTACCTGTTACATCATTAGCTAAA